TACATTTTTGTCATTGTCTGAGTTTTATGTGTTTGGTAGTGCCTAGTAACTTTGTTTATGGTTCATAATTAGCATAAAGTAAGCCCATACAATCTTTTTATCTTGCCCATTTTGAATAGTTCATAATAATGAGAAGAATGAGTTTTAAGATAATTTATCATGAAAATTTTGGAAATGAAGAAAAATACAGTCAAATAATTTTATGATAATACCAGACTTTTGTTTTTATTCTACATTTAAAGAATCATCTAGATCAGACGTTTAAAAGTTTGAAAGCCATTGCAAGTTTTCTTTTCTTTTTTCTGGTTTTTTTTTTTTTTTTTGAAGCAACGTCTTCATTGCTCAGGCTGGGCTTGAACTTTTTGATTCTCCTGTCTCACCCTCCCAAGAACTAGAATTGCAGGTATGTGCCACCATGCCTGGCATGGAGTCTTCAGTTTGCAAAATTTACATATGAAAAAATACTGGTGGTTTTAAGAGTGACAAATTTATGAGACTATTGACCCAAGAACTGAAATGTATCTGACAATGAATACAATAAAAACTAGAATACAAAAGTCTCTGTCTGTGAAAACTTTGAAAGCATGCATTTTGTGCCTTCTAACCTGTTGTTTCTTTTATTTTTGTTTCTGTTAGAATGCTTTTATGAATTCTTTGTCATTCTTATAAAATTTCATGATTATGTGATTAAATATCAGTCTTGTTAAAATTTATTCTGCTTGGGAAATTTTCTTCTATTATTTCTTTAGTTCATTCTCTCTCTTTTACCTCTGTTCTCTCTTCCTAGATCGTTATTAATCCTCTTGAATTGATCCTACATTCCTCTTCATTTATCACTCATCTTTTCTATATTTGGTAAAATAGAAAAATCTGTTTGGAAGGTTTCCTCAACTTTAGCTTGTAGTGTTTTTTTTTTTTTATCATTTTTTGAATTTGTCAGTTCTATTTTTATTTTCTAAGAATTCTGTTGTTTTCTAGTGCTCATTTTCTTACCATCTTACTTTTGGTTTTTGGATTTAGTATGTTCTAAATCTATTTAAGGACATGATTTAGAATTAAAAAAAATACCTTAGCTTTTTCCTTTGGGGACCTTAGTTTGTTTTTGAAACAGGGTCTTGCTATGTAGCCTAGGCTGGCCTTGAAGTTGCTACATAGCTGAGGCAGGCCTTAAACTCTCAATCTCTCTCTCTTTCTTTCTCTCTCTCTCTCTATAGTGATTGGATTGATTAGCATAGAGCATTAATTTCCTTCACCATTGTCTGTAAGGGTTGACTAAGTATTTGCAGACTGTTTGGGGTACCTGGAACTCTAGCAAATTTTTTGCTTTCTTTTGACAGAAGATTCATGTTTTCATCCTAGGAGCAATTGCTGTGTTTAGATGTGGGTGTATATGTTAATGGTTTTACTTGGCCTATCTGTAAAAGTCATTTAGTTAAATACTCTGAAAACTGAACTGCAATCCACTCTGGTTCATTGCCTGTTGACACTGACTGTACTTTGAGCTCATTTCGGACTTCCTAGAGACGATTAGGTCCCGCCTCCACTGCAGTATTTGTGTCTGTTTTCAGGTGCAATCTATTGAGCTCTGATTAATTCACCACTAAAAACCTATTTAGTTCCTGTCCCCACCTTCAAAAACTTTTTAGCTCTCTCAAGTCCATTGAGGTAGTGGTGGTGGTTGGTCGTCCTTAGTTTTCTTTACAATGATAGGAATTCATTCCTTTATTATACCTTTAGTGTCATTTTGTAGACTTAGGGAAGAAAAGGAAGTTAAAAAATGTGTGTATATTAGTCAGGATTTCTCCAGAGAAACAGAAAATATGAGGAGATTTATTATGAGGACTGAGAAGTCAGCCACATAATTTAGTCCAGTCTGAAGGCAAGTCAGTGATGCAACACCATCTTGTTGAAAAACTTTGAGGGGTGTGGTGGGTGCTGCTGGTAGGCCTGAGTCCAAAGGCCAGAGAACCAAGCACACTGATGTCTGAGTGCAGAAGAGGTTGGTTAGCCCAGCTCAAGAAGAGTGAATTCACCCTTCTTTGGCCTTTTTGTTCTGTTTGGGTCTTTAAAGCATTGGATTTGGATGATACCCAATGCCATTGGTAAGGGCAATTTTTTTAACTTGATCTGTGGATTCAAATGCTAATCTGTCCAGAAACACCTTCACAGACACACTCAGAAATAATGCTTTACTGGTTACCTGGGGATTCCTTTGCGCAGCTAAGTTGACACATAAAATCGACCATCACCTTTGCTCAGGCTGAATTTTGAACCCACAAGCCCTGACAAGTCTCCATTCTGACTACTATTTCTAATACACAAATATGGCCTAATAAAAAGAAATTGTCTTCAGTTATATCTGAATTAAGTCATGCTTCATTTTCTGAATTTTTTTGCCACAGTTAAAACACAGTAATAGAAATGGAGTCTTGTTCACAAATAAATGCTATATAATCATTTTTGTAAACTTTACAGAAAGTTATTACTTATCTAAAACAATGATCTGAAGAGGGTAGCTGATTTTGGGTATACATTTCACAATGGCTCATTTGACTAACAAAAGTAGTGGCAAAAGGGTGAATTCAACTATGATATATTGTAAGAACTTTTGAACATATCATAATGTACCCCCAGCACAACAATAATATGATAATTAGAAAAATAAAATAAATTTAAAAAGTAACTAGTGACAGAGTGGAATTACAGCCCATCACCCACACATTAACTTGGAATTGAGTCTAGATGAATCCACAATTAAGTATTCTTACTAGCCTACTTCAAAATGAAAGTATCAACTTCTAACAAATATATTTTACTTCTCTTTATGTACTATCAGTTAGTCAGTCTTTTAATGTACTCACTGTCCTGCATTATTTTCATTAGCCTAGCTACAAACGGAAATAACCTCTAACAAATACCTGACTTATCAATACTGGCTAACTATTAAATATGTAAAAATTTAAAACTGACTGATATTTCCTCTGATGTCTTCATTTTAATAATGCAGAAACTGAAGGAGAAGGATTAAATGATTTGCCCAAGAAAACACAGCTAGAAACAGTTTCTTGATCCCCACTTCATTAAAGTGCAGTTGTCTTGACCATAGCATGATTTGTGACTGGTGACAGTAATAGGTGGCCCTGGCAACAAGCAGGCTTATTAGAAAAGAAAGTGCTGTGTATAGAGCTGTTTCTCAGTAAATCACCCCAAAATGATTGCTTTGAACCTTGTAGAACCCAAGCTATCTCAGACACCTGGAGTTGTACTCATGAAGGTAGCAAAGTAGGGAAAGTGACATAGCTCAGTACACTGTGACCACAAAAGGACTCCAACTAGAATCACCACATAAACATGCAGTGTGGGCTCAATCTGCACCAGAGCTGTGCCTTCTTCTCTCTCTTACTTCCTCATCTCTCAAAGCCCATTTCCTTCTTCCTTCCCCACCTGTACTCACCTTGGTACTGAATTTTAACCACATTATACTGCAACATTGTTTTTGTAATTTATTTTTTTTACATGATAGGGAGAAAGTAAAAAGAATAAAACAGATAGGTGGTGTAATTTGTCCTAAATACTAAATTTCCTACACTTAATCTTAATTATAATCATTTAATAATTTTTCCTATATAATTTAAGGATAATTTAAAAATAAAGCCTTATGTTTTCGCCTTAAAAATCATAGGGTTGAGGTGGGGAGAGTAGCTCAAAAGTGATTATAGAGTGATTGTTTAGCAATTGTACTGGGCTCAACCCTGGGTTGAATCCCCAGTACACACACACACACACACACACACACACACACACACACACACAGACATACATAGACACACACACACCATAGTTATTTCATTAAGAATCTCATGTTCCATGTTTTGGAAGAAACCTTGAAGTGAAAAAGAGCATTAAACTTATCTCATACATATGTGTATGTGTGTATACACATACATATATATATATATTATACATATATATGTTTATAAATATATTTATGAAACATTAAAAGTATCTCTTCCTATGAAACTTGCACAATAGAATTAAATACAAATAACCTAAGGGCTTGGTGTGGTGCTTCATGCCTGTAACTTCAGTTACTCCAGAGGCAGCTTGGTCTGGGGCCAGCTTAGCAAAATTAGCATGAAACCTGATCTGTAAAAAACAAACTAAAAGCAAAAGTTTTAGTTTTTTTAAGCCACACTGGGAAGTATGGCTTAAGTGTTAGAATTCTTCCTGAATTCAATCCTTGTGCCACACCATACACACACACACACTCACACCACCACCACCACCACCCTCAAAAATTTAGACATGCCTGTATGAAACTTACCACATAGAGGCTTAAGTACCTGAAAAAAAATAAGAAAATAATAGAATCCTGCTCTCTGATTCTGCTTTCCTTTATTCATATATACTTTCTTATTAATAAAATAGTCCCCCATCTACAGTTCCACTTTCTGCGGTTTCAGTTAAATAGGGTCTAAAAATTTCAGCTCATAAGTTTTAAATTGTACAGCATTCTGACTAGTGTAATGAACTCTTGCACCATCTGCTTCCTCCTGCCAGGGATATTAATCATCCCTTTGTGCTATTTGTGCTACCCATCCATGCTTGGTTATCAAATTGAGTCTTACTGTATCATGGTGCTTTTTTTTCAAGAAACCCTTATTTAACTTAATAATGGTCCCCAAATCACAAGAGTAGCAATCCTGGTAAATTGGATATGCTGTACAGAAGCTATGAAGAGCTTCCTGTAGGTGAAAAGTTGTAAGTTCTCAACTTAATTAGGAAACAAAAAAATCCCATGATTAATTTGTTAAGATCTGCAATACAGTAAGAGAGGGAGAGAAAGATAGTTTTATAATAGTATGTTGTTACCATTGTTTTATTTTAATATTAATTATTATTGTTAATCTCTTACTCTGCCTAATTTATAGATCACACCATCATAGGTATACTTGTATAGGAAAGAACATAATATATTAGAGTACTATCTGTGATTTCAGGCATCCATTGGAGTTTGGGGACGTGTCTCTCATGGATAAGGGGACTACTGTATGCAACACCCTGACTTGGTACAGCACTGACCAGTGATTATACTGTGCATGGCAGTTGTAGCCGATACATCAATAATCTGATAGGACCGTTCGCTCTCATCGTGTTGCCAAAGGTAATGAAAACTGAGAATCTCTCAGATGTGGTAATGACGGGTAAGTACAGGCCAATTTATAGTTATTGCATGATCTTAGTCCCTGTTGATAATGGAGTCCCCAGAATGTACTTTCTTTTAAAATATCTTACACCTTTGAGTAAGTTAACACTGGTGAGCTTTTACCTTCTATCATTTAGTGTTATCACTAATCTTCAAATGGGAACACATAAAATTATACTCTGGCTTCTTGAGGTTATGGACTACCTGCTGTAGTTTGGATCTGGACTGTCTTCCAAAGACCCATGTGTTTAAGGCATGGGCCCCCATCACAGCACTATTGAGCCGAAGCCAGGCATGGTGCTACACCCCTGAAATCCCGGCATTCAAGAGGCTAAGGCAGGAGGATGATGAGTTCATGGTAAGCCTGGGCTACACATGAGACTCTATCTCAAAAACAAAAAAACAGAAAAACAAGAGATGGAGTCTAGTGGAACAGAGTTATGCCATTTGGGGTGTATCCCTCCTCTCTCTGCTTCAAAAGTTTGCAGGAGGTGACAGCTTCTTTCATCATGGGCTCCCACCATGATGTGCACAGGCCCCAGAACAACAGGCCAACTAACCATGGACCTCCAGAACTTTGAGCCAAAATGTACCTTCCCTCGTTCTAAGCTGTTTCAGATGTGGAAAACTGATTAACACAATACCTAGTTCTGAAACTTTCAGTTTGCCTCTCCAGCTACTTAGGCCCTGTCTGTAGAGTAGGAAAACTCCAACTTAGACTGGAATAATTCTGATCCTCTATAGGTAGTGGATGAGATCACTAGCCCAGCTTTCAGTCAGGCTTCAACTACTGATAGGATATAAACCTGTACCCAAATATTTCCAAGAAATTGACTCCTCATTTATACTTCTATGCTTTAGTCCTCTACTTAAGTCAACCAGAAACCTGATTGCTACATTTCTCCTACTGTCTTACCACCTGGTCTCCTATGAATTGGATTCTCTATTTCCTCAAATCCATTTAGCCTAGTGCTACTCTGAATGTCTCTTTCTGGAATCTGATATCCAGGAGTGACATCCAGACCTCTCTGGCATTATGTCCATTGCCTCCTGAAACTTTTCCGAAGACCTGATGTGGCTCTTGTCCAGGTACCTGCCTTTGCTGACAGCAATGTGGTGGAGCTAGGATTCAAGCTTAGGTCTCATCACCTCTAAAGACTGTGGTTGTTTGCACCGGGTCCTACCACAGTCTCTACTGACATTTCTGAAAGTTATTCAGAATGAGAGATTTAGCAGAGAGGGCTCTGCAAAGAAGCATTCTTGAGAACCCTGGCCTCCTAAGCAGTTACCTCATAAGGGCGAAAGCCATCTCTCTTGTCTAGTTGAGGTCAGTGTTACTGAAGGCCCATTAGTTTTGGTAAGTTGTTCTTCCCCAGCGGGCCTACAGCTTACAGGTAAACATGGGCCACGATAAGGTGACTTTCTTATTTGGCAACAAAGGGAAATTTGAAGATTTTTTTGCTCCATAAATCAGTCCACTAAAAAAAAATTAAGTAAGCTGTGTGTGGTGGCTCAAGCCTGTAATCCTAGGGAGGTAGAGATTGGGAGAATCATAGTTCGAGGCCAGCCTGGGAAGAAAGTTCAAGAGACCTCCTTCTTAACTAAAGGCTAGGCATAGTGGCAGGCACCTATCATACCCAACTAGTGGGGAAGCCAAATAGGAGGATCATGGTCCAGGCCAAACCAAACTCCTATCTCAAAAATAACCAATGCAAAATGGGCTGGGGGAATGGTTCAAATGGTAGAGAGCCTGCCTAGCAAGTGCAAGGCCCTGGCTTCAACTCCCAGTGCCACAATAACAACATCAGTGACATCAATAATAATAGTAATTGTGATGACGATGATGATTAAGACTTCAGAGTAACAGCCACTAAATTTTGGTAGTCAATTAAGCAGCCAATGCACAATATCCTGAAAGAGTAATATTTTTTTTCAGAGGCTTGGAATGAAAGCAGAAGTTATATTGCTACAGAACAATAGCTTAAAATTTCACCCAAACATTGGTTCTTTTTCTTAGTCTTCCTTTACAGTGTTCTGATGTTTACTCCATGTTTAAAGTTAAGTAGAGTTGAGAACAGGGTCTAGGCAGATGATTGAACCTAAACCAAGAACTTGCCTTGCAGCACGCCAATGTTTTGGGTAAAGTCAGAGGCTAGCTAAGCTAAATTATGCAAATTATTGTCTGTCCTAGTGAGGAAGATGCCTCACAAATCTCTTGCTGATGAAGTATGATTAATCTCTAGCCAGAGCTGCCAGTGTATTAGCACAGAGGCCACAAGTCCCACAGGCTGATCCCAGCCAATGACAGCATAGCAGGAATCCCAGGCGGCCACTCTGGAAGACAGAGAGTGATGGAGGATCAAGACCTCCTTTTAGACCTTGATGAAACATTTTTAGAACGACACAGCAGTCTGTGACCTTCCTTCATTTTCCAACTTCCTTCCTTTCCTCCTCTGTCCCATGTAGGGACAAAGTCTGCATCATAGTTTGATGGCTCTCTTATTGTCCCCCTGCTCCCTCCATGTTATCCCTCAGACAGTTTACCCTGTAAGCCTCTTTATAGTCCCCTCTTGACAGCTGATCCTCAGAGAAACTGAACTAAGTCATGACTTTACTACCTTGTTTTATATGTGTAACTTAGGATCAACATTCTTTCTGATTTCAGGGGTGAATAGCATCCATTTTTAGGGAGAAGATCTACCCAATAATGAAAAAAAAATATGACGTCTGTAATCCCAGCTACACAGGAGGCAGAGATTGGGAGGATCATGGTTGAAGGCCAGACTGGGCAAAATGTTAACAATACTGCATGTCAACAAACAAGCTGGGCATAGTGGTTTACATCTATAATCCTAGGTTCATATAGATGTTAGGAGGATTGCTGATGGCTGGCCCAGGCAAAAAGTGTGAGATAGTATCTGAAAAACAAACTAAAGCAAAAAGGACTGGGGGATTGTGAGAGGCCCTGAGTTCAAACCCCAGGACTATGAGAGAGGGAGAGAGAGAGAGAGAGACAAGGATCTCTAAACTGGAATAGCTATTGAAAGAGTCAAAAGGAAAGAGGTGGGATGAGCTTACAGAGGAGGAGGCCACACAGTCTGAGAGTGGTTAGGCTTCAAGAGACAAGTTGCCTTTCATTTTCTGTGCACTTATCCATACAATGAGGCCCAGTAGCACTCACTCTACAGTAAGCCCTGGTGGGCCCAGGAAATAACAAAGGTCAGATGAGAGCCTTTCCCTGAGAAGCTCAGGTCTATAGGGATGACAGGCTTGAATATAGACCAATGATAGAACGGAAGCCCTAAAACTGAGCTGTGAGTTGACTCAGGGAGCCAGAGAAGGACTCATAGCATTCTTCTTGGCAGGTGGAGAAGCCTTTAAAGTGGCAAAGGTTGATTAGATAGTAAAGACAAATGGTGTGAAAGGACTCCATTCATAGACATTCCCAAAATGTTTCTAATTGTACCCATGATGTTCCTGTCTACCTCCTGGTACCCTATTGCATCTGTCACCTTACTTATCTTACTGTAGGCACTTGGCATTGTCCCCTTCCTTGAGAATGTCAGGTTCCTTCCCACTTATGCTGGTCATCCAACAACTACTCACCTAGCATTTACTATGGGCCAAGCACCAGGGAGACAGTGAGTAAGATGAACAAGATCCCTGCTTTCCTGCATCTTATACTTTGGTGGGAGAGACAGATGATAAACAAGTAAATCAATAAGAATGGGCTGGGGATGTGTCTCAAGTGGTAGACAATGCCTGTGTAGCAAGCATGAGGCTCTGAGTTCAAACCCCAGTACTGCCAAAACCAAACAAAACAAAATTACTAAAAAGATAATTTCAGATAGTGTAGGGGCAGGGGAAGACACAACAGTAATACAGTGGGAAAGATTAGGGTGATTATTTTTTCCCTTTTTCAATAGCCTCACCCGTGCCAAGGTGCTTACAGTCCTTCCTGTGCAAAGCCTTCTTGGCCTTAGAATTCAGTGATCTCAATAAGAATCCAATAGCTCCTTTATCAAAAGCTCCTTAAGGCATTGTACTGTGTTGAGTGTCTGGGCAGGGGGAGGCCAGAAGTTCAGCAGGCTTGGAGCGAGGACTGTGATGTATTCCTGACCTTTAACTCAGCTGCAGGAGCTTAAAGTCTCATTGGGAGGGGGTAGGAGTTTTCCAGGGCTCTCACAAATGATTACAAAGTGGTGACTTCAAACAGCAGAAATGTATAATGGGTTTTTGAAGGTTAGAGGTCTGAAATGAAGGTGTGTTCAGGGCCAGGCTCTCTCTGAAAGCTCTGTGGGAGTGTCATTCCTTGCCTCTTAGGTTCTGGTGGCTGCCTTGTAATTTATATCACTCCAGTCTGCCTCTGTTACCACATAACTTTCTCTTGTGTGTCTCTCATTGTGGAATTTCCCTCTTCTAGTAAGGATGCCAGCCGTTGGATTAGTACCCATGGTAATCCAGTGTGATCTCATCTTCGTCACATCTGGAGAGACCCTGTCTCCAGCTGGGGTCACATTCTGAGAAGAGGATGGACATAAGCTTGGGGGAGAAGACATGACTCAACCCCAGGGAGGGAATCATCATGTCCTGCTCTATGAAGACAACACAGGTACAAAACTGACACAGGACAAGGTGGGACATGGAGAAATTGGGAGGCCTCGTGGGGCAGGGTTGTCCAAGCCATCACTTTGCATTTCCCCTTTGGTTAGGAGCACACATGTCCATCAGTGGGTCTACCTTAACAGTTCCTGCATTTTCAGATGGTGTCTAGGAAATCACCAAAACTTTGTCTTCTATTAAAGTTACTTTGTAAAGGAAAAAGTGTGTGGGGTTTAGTTATCATTTCCTTTATGTTTTTCTATTTGTTTGAAATTTGTCATATTAATATTTGGCAAAAGTAGAAAATGGTTTCATGGGTTAAAAGTGCTTTTTCCACTACCAGGAAGAAGAGATAAGGAGGATTATGGCTTGAGATCAGCCTGAACAAAAAAGTTAGCAAGACCCCATCTCAACAAATAAGCCATGTATGGTGGTTCAGGTCTGTAATTCCAGCTATGTGAGAGACATACTTAGGAGAATTGAGGTCAAAGTTTGGCCTGGCAAAAAAGTGTGAGACCCTATCTTAAAAATAACCTAAAGCAAAAAGGGCTGAAGTGTGGCTTAAGTGGTGGCACACTTGCCTAGGAAGTACAGGTCCTGAGTTCAAATTCCAGTACTGAAAATATATTTCCTTTTTATGTGGAAATAATATCAAATTTTAAAGGGAAATTGGAAGAATAGGAATATTATACAACTGGATTGGTAGCACATATCTTTAATCCCAGCACTTGTGAAGCAGAGGCAAGATGGTTGTGCGTTTGAGACCTGTCTGGGCTACCCTATCTAAAAAGAAAAGAAGGAGAAGAACGAGCATAATGATGAAGAAGAGTAGTGTAATAGTGTAGCACACAGAGCACCTGGATTATGTCTGTGGTGTTAGCTGCTTTCCCCACTTACTTTACTATTGTACTGTGTGTCTATTCCTAATGCTTGTAGCCTAAACTCTAGCAGGTAAGTTACCTATGCTAAGGCATTCCTTATCCCTGTGTACATCAGTGTGTACTTCCTAACCACTGTACAGCTGTTCACTAGTCAACTGTACAATGCCTCCATCTACATTAATTGACTTTACCATTAGACTCTGTATTTCAGTTTTGCCATTTAACTGAATAATGTCTTTTTTATAGAGTTTTCTCTCTCCAAGAGTGGACTGTGTCTAGAGTTTTGCATTTCTTTGTCATGTCCCTTTGGTCTTCTTTAATCTAGACCATTCTACAGTTTTTCTTCATTTTTTTTTTTTTTTGGTGGTGCTGGGGTTTGAACTCAGGGCCTCATGCTTGTAGGCAGGCACTCTTACCACTTGAGCCAGCCCCACATTTTTGAAAAGTACAGTTTTCCCATATTGTTTTTATTTTACTAGAATATTCCTCCCGGTGGCTTTGGCTAGTGTTCCTCATGGTCAGCCGATGTGCATCTGCTGGAGGAAGACTGAGTCATCTGTTTTCCTTGCCCAGGACCTTGCTCTGGACGCACTTGATTCTCATCTGTTCATCAGAAATATGGACTTGAATCACCCCAGGCAAGGTGCTCTCTAGGTCCTTCACTGTATAATTACCTTTTTTTTTTCTGTTGCAGCTAATAAATTAATAAGCAGCATGAGGAACCACACCTATTTTTGTTTTTTTTTACAGTACTGGTTGTGAACTTGGGGCCTTGCACTTGCTAGGCAGGCACTGGTCAGGGGCCATTTGGATCTCACACCATGGCCACAGCTAGTCTAGGGAAGAGAACTGATAGCACAGCCCTCCTGATTGCCTTAGACCTAAAATCAGGTGGCCTGGTGGGAAAAAGTAATTGTGCTAATCCCTTTCCTCTCCTGGGAATTTGGAATGGGTAAACAAAGGCTGATTTTGGAAGTGAAGGGACACCCTGTCCTTTCCTGGCCTGAGACTTTTCCTGTGCTCCTGTGATCTATGACCTTTCACCAAGTCCTCTTTTTTCCTGAGGTAATGCACTTTCTGTTCTTTGAACCCAAATGATCCTGACTTCAGCCCAATAATTTACTTCCTTGTGAGAATTTATCCAGACTCATTGAAAAATGAGTAAAAATACTTAGGCAGTGCTAGACAAAGTAGTAACCCTCCAGTTTTCCTTCCATCAACTTAAAAGTATGTGGAAATACATGGGCAGTGTGCATCTGCGGCATTCATAAGTGAAGGGTTAGTAGTCAGACCCCAGCCTACATCACCAAGAGAGGTGTTTTGGGAAATATATGATGATTGTTATCAATCTGCAGGGTCCTCTCTCAAAAGAGCCGTAACGCACCTTTCCTCTTGCTGTAGCAGGAGAGGGACAGTGACATGGGTGAAAGTCTTGCATTAAGGATTGCTATGGTCAACTCAAAGTGACATATGCCTTACCAGATCATAGGCATTTTGCAGGCTATTCTGGAAGAGAGGCTTCCTCAACTTTTGTGCTATTAAGAGCAGAGATAGCTAAAGCCAAAGAAGGATGGTGGGTGGAAGGGCAATGGGGCCTCAGCATTGCTCACCTCGCTGATTGCCAGGTTGACTCTGCTGACCTGGGTAGGCACTTTTTCTGTGCAAGTACTGCCCATGCTTCTTTCCTAGCATGACCTGCCTGGTGGAGTGGCCTGACCTTCCCAGACAGAGGACCACGCTCCTTCAGTCAAGGGTTTATCAATGTCTTTCCTTCATGTTAGAACCTTCAAGAAAACTCTAGGGGTATGCTATGGTTTGGATAAAGTTTGAGTTTATTCTCCAAAGGTTCATGTTCTAGAAGCTTGGTTCCAGTGTGGTGATGTTGAGAGGTGAAGGTACTTTTAGGGGGTGAGACCTAATGCAAGGTAATTAGATCATAGGGCATCACCTTTGTAAAAGACTAATGTAGTTCTTGGGGGACCCTGGTTAGTTTCTGCAAGTGTGGGTTGCTGTGAAAAGAGCAAGACTAGCCCCTAAATCTCCCTCGCCTGTGACCTGTTCTATGATCCTGTCTCACAATGTGATCTCTTCTGTACTCAGCCAGTTCCTTTTCCATTTCTGCCATGTGGTGATGCAGCTGGCCTTCACAAGAGGCTGAACAAATGTGGCTACCAGACTTTGGACTTTCAGCACCCAAAAACTATGAGCTAAATGAATCTAATTTATTAACTATCCAGCCTCAGTACTTTTTTTTTTTGCAGTACTGGGACTTGAACTCAGGGCCTACACCTTGAGCCACTCCACTAGCCCATTTTTGTGAAGGGTTTTTTCAAGATAAGGTCTTTCCTAACTATTTGCCTGGGCTAGCTTGAAACTGTGATCCTCCTGTCTCTGCCTCCTGAGGAGCTAGGATTATAGATGTGAGCCACCAGCACCTCACTCAGTACTTTTTTTTTTTTTATAGCAACAGAAAGCAGACTAATACAAAGTGTGTATGTGGAAAAGTGTAGATGGGAGAAGTTTTCAAGATGCCAGACAAAACCAAAGGAAACACCAAACTAGGGCAGCCTGCCTGTGAAAAACATAATCTATAATTATTCAGTGCCTTAAAGTATGAGCTATGAGTAATTACCAAGAGAGAGATAAATACTGTCTCTCATTAGTTCTTATTCCCTTATTCACACTGTTTATTCAGACTGAAAATCTTTTCCCCCATGCTCTAGAAAACCCCAACTCCATTTAAATTTAACCTCAATATCATTTTTGCCAGAAAATCGTTCCAGGCATTTGTTTTCCCATTTCCTTGTTTCCATTGAGCCTTGTATGTATTTCTAGTAGAACAATTTTTGTACTTCTATGATGGTTTCTCTATATATTTTTAAAATCCTTTGGAGTCAGTCACTGTGAGATACATAGCTACCATGCAGCAAAACCTATATTAATATTTTTAATGACTTCAGCTGTTACTGAAACTGGTTGTTTCTAAACTTAAATTGGGGCAAATGACTACAGTGCAGAGTTTTGCCATCATTGGGCACTAGGAATGCAGATTGTAGAATTAACAGCTAGCCCTCAGGTGCAGGACCAGGTGCAGGGTAGATTCTTTCTGGATGTGGTAGTCAGAAAGAATGTGGCCATTTTCCAGCTACTTCCCAGCAAAGATGCCTTCTTTATCCTGGATCTTTGGGTGTGTGTGTGTGTGTGTGTGTGTGTGTGTGTGTGTGGTACTGGGGTCTGAACTCAGACCCTCACACTTGCAAGGCAGGTGTTTTACTACTTGGTCCACGCTCCAGCCCTCTTTAACTTGGACCTTGACCTTCATGTTCTTGACAGTGTCCCTATACTCCATTTCAAAGGTGATGACCTTGCTCATCAAGGTCTTCATGAAGAGTTGCATTTTGACCTGTTATCAAATGTGAAGAGGTGGTGAACTATCAGTCACATAGAGCCAACCCAGCACCACAGCACCACTGTTCTACAAAGCCACTTAAACTGAATTCACTGTATTGTATTTATATTTGTGCCCAGTGATTGTCACATCATGGGTGTTTCAAATATTTTGGCCAAATAAACAAAAATTTTCTCTTAGAAAGAGGTCCCATTCCAGAGATCTTGCCCATGTAAGACCAGAGTAAAGATGACACCACAGCCAAGATCAGTAAAGCTATGATTACAACAAAAAGAAGATGCAGATTGAAAATTCAGCTGACTCTGGACCTGCAGGAAATAAGTAAAAAAAAAAACAAAAACATTTTGAGAGCTGGGTGTGGTAGTACATGCCTGTAATCCCAACCTTTGTGAGCCTGAGGCAGAAGACTTTTGAATTCAAGGCCAGTGTGGGCTCCACAGTAAGACCCTGTCAAAAGGGAAGGAAAGGGGAGGCAGAAGAGGGGAAGGTAAGGTAAGGGGGAAGGAAAGCCTTTGAGAGACAAAGGCCCTAAAGTGTGTTGATTAAAAAGCTTCAACTTTGTGTTTCACATAAGATCCTTATGTCTTATGTCAAAGTCTCCACTGTTAACTTAGAGGTGGGGAATGAGAGCAAAGAAGTAGATAAATAAGAGTCTTGAGAAAGAAATAGACCAGAAGTTTACTACATTTTTTGAGGAAATTATATATCTAAAAACTCAGGAACCTTGCCTTAAAAAAAAGCCTGGAATGTAGAACAACCCTTGGGTGAGCAAATTGCAAAGCAGTGAGTGATGATGCATGGAATAGCCACAGCCTCTGTGCAAGATCTGCTCCCCTGTGCCCACTCTTGGGGCGAACAATCGATAAAGAAGTT